ATCTATTTGACCATGTGTCCTTGAACATGACAAAAAAGATGAAGTCAACAGTCCGAAGAATGTAAATAGTGTAAATAATTAGAATACCTCATCTCAGAAATATAGACTGACAGAGACATTGTCAGATTAAAAAATCAATATGCATCTCTGTGTGTGTCTGTGTGCTCATATTAGTGTGTGTCGTCTTTAATTTCAGTTTTATATACATTAAGTTTTTATATTACTTTATATACACATACGTTTCTTTAAATATGTTTTCATATATACAATCCTATTTCTATGAACCGTATCTCGCATTATTAGTCATTTTTTCTTGTACAAAACCCTAAGATGCTACAAGCCAAAACATTAACCCGAGAACTCGAACTATATACTTAAATAACCACGTCAAATCTAGACTCTCATACGGATGTCATGCATAGCATCCAACTGATTCAAAAATATCTAAACTATCATCTGTATACAGCTGATGTCCCAGGCCAATGATTAAAAATGCTTTCGAACAAGTTGATCTGCTTATGGTTTTATTTATCGCTGGATGGAATAAGAAATCTGAGAGACATGTTTGTATTCTATTTTTATTCTTAGTATTCACGTAAGCGGAAATAATTCTGGAAATGCAGAAATCTATATCCCTATCTTAGCTATGGATTAAATAGTATAAATTTTATCTCGGAAAACCACTGTTATTTTTTTAAATGTTAAAGCAATATTCACTCTTAAAAAAAAGAATTTTCTGAGAATCCAAAATATGTTTCGGCTTTAATCCACAAAGGGCTAATAAGCCATAAAAACGACAGCCAATCTTTCAAACGATTAAATTCTTTAAATTCTAAAGACAATCGCTCACCTTATAGCGCTACAAAGTCACAAAAAGTTTACCAAATAAGAAAAAAAAACACACTTGAAGACTTACAACAGCAGTAAAAAAAATATTATGTACACTATTTACATTATTTGGACTATTGTCTTCATCTTTGTTGCCATATTTATCACAAAGTTTCGGCCGTTGTACGCTTCGGCCTTCTTCATGTGGTTGAGATGTCGAACTGAACCCTTTATTTTGCTCGCTGGGGTAGACAGTTCTAGTTCCACGTGCCACGTATAATAGATGTCAGTTATCAGTTATTCTTCTCTCCAAGTTCTCCACCGCCTTAACCAAGTATAGAACTCATACTCTTTGGATCCTGTCACTGGATCTAACTTACGCCTTTATCCTCGAGGACACATGGCACGGCCGAAACGTTGTGATAAATATGGCAACAAAGATGAGGACAATAGTCCGAATAATGTAAATAGTGGACAAAAAGTGGACATCACATGCAAACTAGAAAATAATATAATCAAGATGTTGAATTTCTTCATTAGCTCAAACAGAAGGTTAGGAAGGAAACCGCCATTGGCAGAAGAAAAAGCGATATTAGTAAACTTTTAAAGCCTAGTTATCTAAAATAAAACAAAATAAAAACTGTTCTAAGAGAATGATTTTGTAATTTCAGCCTTCAGTAACGCCAGACTCCACAGTTATTGGCAGATTCAAGTATATATAGTATATATGTGTATATATGCCACTTTACGATATGTCAACAGTTTTAATCGATTTTATAGGATTTTTGCAATTTTTTCTTTGTTAGCCAGGCTACTGACAATCAAAGAAGCATTCTGTTATTAAACATTATACTCCCAAAATAAACTCATAATTTACAAGGACAGATATCTTCAACGAAATACTGTCATTTTAATGACGACAAAGCTATTAAGGCAACTAGTGTTAAATATAAAAGAGTACTGAACTAATGTAATACCAGTCTTCCTATATGACAGTGAATGATGGACAATTGCCCCACAGATGAAAAAGTAACTTGAAGCAACGAAATGTGGATGCTGAGAATACTATGGTCCGAATATGTGAGGAAGAACAAAATTCTAGAGACAATGAAAACAAAATATTAAGAACAATTAATAGCCTGTATTTATTAAATTACTTATACATTGGCATGAATAAATCTACTCTTTTTATATTTAAGCGAAACATTTCTCTTTTTATGAAGAAGGACGTAACTTTCGAAATTGCAGGAAAGGCATTACGAGTCGTAATGTTTGTTTTGTTATCTCTGACTGCTCAGTATCGAGCCTTTTTAGTTTTCCCTAACGTTTATTGTTAGAAAGTTTTTTTTTATCATAATTTTATCCTTTTCATATTTATTTACTATAATTAACATTTCTGTTTGGACGAGGACTTATACTCAGATTTGTCCGAAAAGAGTTTCGTGTCATAACGTTATTTCTTTTTATTGTTCATAATATACAGGGTGTTTCAAAAAATTTGATATCATTTCGCAATCTAATAACTTTTTTAGATCTCCTTCAAATGACTTCAAATTTTAATAGCATCTTTATATTTAATGTTTGTTTTATGTTTTTATGTCTTTATGGATCAGGCGTGCTGGTGTTAAAGACAGTGTGTTGCTGAAATGGCCGCCCTGTTCACCTGATTTAACACCTTGTGACTTTTTTCCTCTGGGGCTACGTGAAGGAATGGTGTATGTTCCCCCTCTTCCTGCAAACATAGAAGAACTCAAGTAGAGAATCAATACAGCACTGGAGACTGTTACCCAAGATATGCTTCAGCGTGTTTGGCAGGAGCTGATTACTGACTTGACGTATGCCGTGTCTCAGGCGGTACGCATATTGAACATTTGTGAAATCGTTCACATAATCCACATGCTTTTGAATTTCTCATTCAGATTTGGAAGAATAAATTTTTATTTCATTTGCTTATGATCTTCAACATTAATACTTTTTAATTTCATTTGCCTTAATCATGTAAACTTTCAGTAAATTAAAAATTGACCTGTTTGATATTTACATCTCAAAGGATATCATTATGAAAAATTTTTGAAACATCCTGTATATTTGGCGGAAAAAGAACATAATTAAACAAACAGGGATCCAGTTTCAGTTGCTTTGCTAGGTTCAAAGGTCATCCAAGAACTACTTATTCAAGACGTTGCAAACTGAGAAAGACAGTATTCAGTAAATTAAAAATTGGACCTGGTTTGAACAGTAACCTAGGCAAAAAACAAACACCAGGTGATATGGTTAGAGACAGAATGCAAACATTATGGAAACGGATTTGTTGTCAACAGTAAATGAAAGAATAATGAACATCGATGGCGGAAAGTATCAAACCGGGTGTCTGTAATACAGCTCACTGTTCAAGAAAAAGAACATACGAATTTCAACAAACAGAATGGATCCAGAATGCCCAGCTAACAAATCCATGGGAGTTTTAAATCTTTATAAAAGACAATAAAAATATATTAAAATAATTGTCGGACATTCTATAAAAAAGTTCAAAGAACATCCAAGAACTACTATAGTCACAACGCTGAGCCGGACATTCAAAGAACAAATGCAAAACTGTTTAAAAAAAGATCCCTATATAAATAACATATAACAATAAAAATATATTGAAACACTTAAGAAAGAGTTTTCCTTTGGAGATTTCATGGCGTTCTTTACAATTTTTTCAATTGCAAGATCTGCAACGTTACCTTAGTATTTCCCAAACTAGCAGAGGACAGAGAAGGCTTGGCAAAATTTTTCACTCGAATCATGACCTCAAATGAAAAGAATAACTGTTCCCTCCGACATCCAGTGTATGTGTATATATATATATATATATATATATATATTTCTATATATATATATATATATATATATATACTTATAGCTTAAGCAAGTGGATGACAAACGTTCTAAGCAGAGGAAGGAACTTGTTGAGAGCCATGAGGGGGAGAGCCATTACGTCCTGAAAGGACATGACATAAAATGGAAGAAAGTAAAATTTGTATCAATTAAACCATTATTATGCCAAAAGAATTCTGTCCAAAATAATTAGATTTCGGTATTAAATAACCCAAAGAGTTTAATATGCCGCTAAACAAAAACAACCAACCAATCTTAGTAGGTTTGATTTTTAATCTTGCATCAGTGGATTTCGGGATTTTTTAATTTTTTTGTAAAATGAACTGTATACGGCGTTTGTTGACGGCCAAGTATTCAGTTTGATTCTTGGTGTCTCCTGCACTTTTCCAAATTACAATCTTCGGGGTACTTCGAGCCAAATGCTAATTATTGCTCAGCCATTTGTTGTGCACTGTTTTTTCTGTGGGTTTGTTGCATTATACAATCATCTCGTTACATTTTACATTTTTTCCCAGAATTCCATTTACGTCGCCCATGATAATAACTTAATTTCTTGTGACTTGTTATGATATTTTCCCGTGTACTGCCAAATGAATTTAATACTTTTCAGTTTTATATATTATGATTGCTGTTTACACAGACGCACACACACACATACGCGCACGCACACACACATATATACGCACAAACACACACACGCATATATATACATATGAAAATGTTTTGTCTGATGATCGAAAAAGCGTGTAACACAGGGTCAAAAACTCATATCCATACAACTTACTATGTTAGTTCTCTTACTGATATTGATCACTTTCAACTAAGTACTGCGCATATAAGATTATATATATGTAATGGCTCGGAATTGCTAATCAGATAGCGGGGTTCCAATTCCCATTGGATTCGTTATATGAAAGGTGTTTTTTTTTTGCATTTAAGCGTAAGTGAATATTACAGACTCAAGTGGCATTAACAATTCCAAGCCATTATTTATTACACCACCCGCACATCCAAGCTTATAGCACCTGATATTCTTAAGTGGTTACCCATCAAGGTACTGTCCAGGCTTGACGTTGCTAAACTTCTGTGATCGTATGGAAACCGGTGTTTCCACGTGATGTGGCCGTAAGGCGGAATAGTGATTCCAGGGTGACAATCATTGGTTCATTGTAAGTGAAGGAATGATGAAAAGCTCTCACCAGATCAAGGAAGGATTCCACAGAAAACTATTTAGCGCTGTGGTCACCTGAAATTTTGGGGAAATGGGTTGCACCAAGAACTTTTTACCAGCTCTATGTATACTTATAAACCTTTTCACTTTTTTTAATACTTCTATATTAGCATTTTCATTATTTAAAATAGTTTCATTTGTTTAAATAGTTATTTATTAACCTTTTCAGTTTTTAATATTTTTATTAACTTTTTTCTTTTTACGACATTTATGTCTAGTAGACTTTTTATTGTGAGGATATATTAAAAGAACGTCATATATGTATCTTAGGTAAGTGGCGTTTTTAGGTATGGGGCATTTAAATGGACTCTAAAAATGTGTGTAGTAAAATTAAAGAAAGAAAAAATGAAAACACATACTCCACTATATTAATAGGGTGACAGAACTAATTTCAACTCGGAATCTCAAAAGGGTAATTTGCAGTTCAAGCCCTGCGCTCAGTTTTTAATAAAGAATTTCCCGAATAGTTCGATTTAGGTGTAATTGTACATTCGAAAATAACAAAGAAATTTTGGTAAAATCTACCGTTTTAGAGTTATCGACAATAAAAGTTCGGACTCATTCACGTCGCGGTGGACGAAGTTGGAGTTAATTCTGCACCCCGATTAAAAGAATACCACCCTACAAACATTATATGGCTTATCCAAAACTGTCAAAACCAACATACCCATCATACCTATTGTGTGTCCAGAATCAAAAGTGCACCTACAAATTAACTAAAGCAATTTCAAAAATCAGAACTCCGTCCTTAAATTACTATCAACCCAACACATATTAAGATGGCTTAATCCAGACGATACGTAACATAAACATGGGAAATAAGGTTATAATTAACTTTTTCTTTTTAAGCATTTCACCCCAAGCAAGGCAGGAGTGCCACTGGTACGCAGGGAGTTACAGAGAGTGAAAGAGAAAGAAAAGACCGGGTGTTATATAGGAATAAAGTGTCGCTGCAGACACTTGAGTTTGAACATAGATCGCCAGTGAGCAAACACAGGCGATCCCTTTATTGAATTAAGCAGACCAAATGACCAAAGAGGAAACGCATATATAGGAGATAGCGCGACTGTCGAATCGTACGCCATTTCTAGTCTATCCTCTATTACTATTTGGATCGCCATTTCTCTTCTATCCTCTATTACTATTTGGATCGCCATTTCTCTTCTATCCTCTATTACTATATGGACCGCTATTCTCTATACTATTCACTATACTATTCCTTTACACCGATCATTATTCGGTGGTTACTTTTTGAGCGATTATTATCGAACAAGTACTATTAGTGCGAGTGTTATTCGAAGGCGTCTGACACCAGCATTGTTCAACGGCGTTACTATAGTTGTATCTGCAATTACAAAGTCTCTACTACATGGAGCATTACGAAAGTGACAACGAGTATTCGTTGACATCAAAACAGTGTCAAATGAGTGCTCGTTGACATCACAAAACTTGGTATAGGAGGGATTGAGGAAAGATAAAAGATGAACGGAGATCAAGGCAACAGAAGATGTCGATTGACGTTGCATTTAAATTTTTGAAGATTGTAGTTATCAGAGAAGCAAGTAAGAGGAAGGGAGTCACACAGTCGGGAAGTGCGAAAGAAGAAACTGTTGGAGTAGAAGTGGCGGTTACGTTTAAATATTGCAAAAGTAAAAGGGTGGGACCTAGATGCCAATCTAGTAACACTCTTAAATTCATGTAGCTCGTCAGAGCAACTGCCATGAAAATATTTGTAAAAATGACAGAGGGAAGCGATATCACGTCTGTGAGAAATGACTAAAGCCAAGATGCCAAGTCAGGTTTGATTACATTTTTCTTTGGATTTTGTCGAGACCTTCGAGATGAACAGCAGAGGCACCAGACCGAATATGTCAACAGTATTTAATGCATGGAAGAATGGTAGATTTGTAGATGTGTAAGATAGACACTGACGAGAAAAACCTTCTGGCCCAACACTTAGATATCGAATGCTTATACACAAGTATACCCGTTATAAAATTACTCAACATATTAAGAACCCACTTCAGAAATTCAAAGAAAACATTCCTCTACCGGTCCATAAAATTATACAACTGCCCAAACTAATAACTAACCACTGTTTTTACCCTTTCAATAAAAATTTCTATAATAAAAAAAATTCGGCTTATCTATGGTTCCACTTATTGGTGGTGTTCATTCCTGTCTTTTAGAATTTTAGAGTTCTGCCCATTTAAACACATCATACTTAAAAACTCCACTTATCGAAGATACACAGATAACATTCTTGAAATATGTATCTATCAACTCAATCTTTTTTTTATTACTTTCATACTTGTCTCCTATTTTTTTAAGCATCTATCTTGCTTTCTTCAATATAACTTTCTTTGTTCAGTATTCGTTTTGTAATATTTATCTATCAACTGGTTTATTTTTTAATTTATAATTCCTTTAATAGTAACTATTAATGCTTACATTTCTCTTAATATCTATAAAATTTTTCAGTTTTTAATACTTATCTATAAATCTTTGACCACCTCGATGTGGTGTAATAGTTAGTAAGCATGTCTCGCTAAATCAATTACGACTTAATAGTGAGGTTCATCCTCACTAGGTACCCCATACTTTTGGCCTTGTGCCACATCTAAGCTACGCTTAGAAAATCATTTGGGTACTCGAAGTAGTGTAATAATTAGCAAGCTTTTCTCGCTAAATCAATTACGACTGAATAGTGAGGTCCATCCTCACTGGGTGCTCCATAAATTTCGGCTTTGTGTCACATCTAAGCTAAACTCAGAAAATCGCCGTATCTATAAATCTTTTCTTTTAAAATCAAGCAGGTACAGAAGTATCTGGGAAGCGTTTTAACAGAGAATAGAAAATGCGGCACCGAGATTCGAACACGCATTGGACTAGCGGAAGAGGCACTGCAACAGTTAAACAAGGTGCTAAGAAACGGAAAGATTTCGTTCGAAGCAAAGAAAAAACTGTTGAATTGCTGTGAGATATCCATCCTCTTGTATGGCTGTGAGTTTTAGACAATTTCCCTACATGAGAACAAAAATGGGAGTGCAGAATCAATTTCAATTTCACCCACCGCGACGCGAATGAGTCCGAAATTTTATTGTTGATAACTCCAAAATCGTAGATTTTATCAAAATTTCTTTGTTATTTTCGAATTAAGCATGTACATTTACACCTACATGGAACTATTCGAGAATTTTTTGTTTGAAATTGAGCGCGGGGCTTGAACTGCAATTTAACCTCTAGTTGAAATAAGTTCTGTGACCCTCAAAAAGCTGGAGGCAGCAATGATGTTTTGCGGAGGAATACTGAAGACTGCATGAACGGAGAGAGGAAACAACAAAGAGGATGGTAACGGAAATGTGCTTGAAATCAGGAAAAGATAGCTGAAGTTCCTTGGACATATTTTGAGAAAGGATATCCTGGAAAACTTAACCCTCAGAGAGCATTTTAAGGAAATAGGGATAGCGAAAGGCAACTGGTCACTTACCTGACAAGATTGTACGCATGGATGACTGAAAAGGAGATAAACTGCAAAGAGCCTCATGAGATAGAAAGTTCTAGAGAGCCATGGTTTCCTATACCCTGAAGGGATGCGACACACAAAAGAAAAAGTGTGTCCAATCATTTCTTAATGACTAAGGGTTGTTGACTTTTTATACTAAAACTATGTCAAGCAAAGAACTATATTTTTGATTTGTTAACATTTTTCTTAAGCTGAACTTGAAAACTGATTGGAAAAAACATCTTTTTTCTTTTCTTTTCACTGGTCTTTCTTTCCTGTTTTTTTTTTCTTTCTTTATCTATTAACCCTTTCTTGAATTTCTCTTTCTCTCCATCTATTTTTTCTATGCAACTTTTTTCTCTTTCTCATCTATTTTCCTTGAAAATTAAATTTTCCTTACGTTTCTGTTTTCTTTTTCAATTTTGTCGTCATCAATCTTACTTTTTGTCGTACTTTTTCTTTCTTCTACATTTTTTTCCATTTCCTTTATGTATACTCTTTTTTCTTCATGCTTTCTTTCTTCTGCACTATTTTCTTTCTTTCTTTTTTCTTTCTTTCTTTCTTTCTTTCTTTCTTTCTTTCTTTCTTTCTCCTGTATGTATTTCGTTCTTGCTTTCTTCAATATAACTTTCTTTGTTCAGTATCTTTTTCGATCTTTTTTCTTCTCCATCAATTACTTTCGTGCGAATTACTTTCTTTTTTGATTATTTCTTTCTGTCTTCCCTATTTCATTCTTTCTTTATCTCTTTCTTTCTCCTTTATCACTTTCTTTATTCCTTCTCACTTTCTTACTTTCTTTGAAATATATCAGTTTTTCTTTCTTCTCTATCTCATTCCTCCTTTCATATCTTTCTTTCTTTTCTCTATTATTTTCTTTCTTCATTATCACCTTCTTTGTCCTTCTTTCTTTCATTCTTTTTTCTTCCGTATCTCTTTCTTTCTTTCTTTTTTCAATATGACTTTATTTCTTTCTTTCTTTCTTTCTTTCTTCAGTATCTCTTTTTTTCTTTTTCTTCAGTAGAATTTTTTCTTTTTTGCTTGTTTTTTTCTTTCTGTATCACACTCTTTCTTTCTTCATTATCTCTCAATCAGTTCTAAAATAATTTTTCTTTCTTCCCTCTTTTTTACTTCTTTATCTCCCTCCTTCTTTATCACTTATTCCTTCTACGTCACTGTTTCTGTTTTTTTTTCTTCTTTTTTTATCTCTCTTCTGCTTTTCTCCTCCTCAATAAATCTTCTTTTAGAAAACGTTATTTTTTGTTGTTGTTGTTTTTTTTGCGTGTGTGTGTGTGTATGTGTCCTTCCTCTCTCACGTTCTTCATTTACTGAATATTTCCCCTTTATTTCTCTTTCTATTATTGTTTCCTTCCCTCTCTCTCCCCCTCCCCCTCTCTCTCTCTCTCTCTCTCTCTCTCTCTCTCTCTCTACATGTCCATTTCTTATCTTTTGGGGTTTTTTTTTTTCCTCTGTGTCTTTCTTCTATCTTTCACCACACACACACCCACGCACGCACACACACACACACACACACACACACACACACACACACACACACCCTTCTATCTCTTTCTTCATATCTACTTCATTATCGTTCCCGGCGATTTTTTTCACATTTTTCTTTTTCTCCTCTCCTCACCAACGATTTTTTGGCATCTCCAGTCATCGTCGGCGCACCGGGTGCAATTAAACGGATTATCTGCCCCTGACAGCCCACTAACTCTTATCAGTCTTTTCTGCTTCTTTAACACAATTGATAAGTTACTTAACTTACAATCTCCCGGTGACGATTTCGCACACGGTACGGCTTAATCCAACTCTCAAGAGAAGATGACGTGGTGCTAAGCTTACTTGGTCGTGTGTACGTATTCCACGGTCTATTTATTGATTTCTTTCTTATATTTACTAGCGGAAACAACACCACCCGCTGGGTAAGTTTTTGCTTTTGGCAATATCTAAATAATAAATAGCATTTCGAGCTTTTCTTGAAATTGATATAATAAATCATTAGAATTTTTTAAAGATTTAGAATAAGAAAATGAGTTTATCCGAGTTTTAAGTAACCCACACTTTTGGAAGCTGGAATTTATTTAAGGTACAAATAAATAAAAAGGGACGTGGCAGGAGAAAGAAAGAAAGAAAGAAAGAAAGAAAGAAAGAAAGAAAGAAAGAAAGAAAGAAAGAAAGAAAGAAAGAAAAAAAGAAAGAAATGCATACATACATACATGGTAGGTTTTATTAAAAAGAAAGAAAGAAAGAAAAAAGAAAGAAAGAAAGAAAGCAATACATACATACATACATACATGGTAAGTTTTATTAAAAAGAAAGGAAGATAGAAAGAAAACTGTGTGACGTACAGTAGCCGTTAATAATTAAGTATAACTCAAGACTTTAATGTTAAATATTTAATTACAAACGCAAATAAATACCTAACAAGAACAAAGAAGTAAAAGTCAATCAAAGATAATTAACAATTTCAGTGAAAAACTTGTTAGTAGCGCGGCTCGGCTTAATGTCCGATAAATCCTACGGTAAACCATCGGCACACAATAATTCGCAATAATTCGACAGAATAATTCTACTCAACGGTTATATAATAATCAACTCAAGTCAAAGAGAAACTTTCGAGTCACTGAAGAAATGGTGTTAATATATGGTACCACTGCTTGGACATTAACTCAATTCCTACAGTCTAAGCTTGATGGAACCTACACCCAGATGGAGACAATATCCCAGTAAATTACAGCTCTATGGACCCATCCGAGAATGTGCTTTGCATGACACTACTGGCGAGCAAAACAAGGACTTTCGAGTACAGCTCTGACACAAAACGGGTTAGTCGTCCAACAACGGCCTACATTGACTAGTTGTGTGACAGCACAGAATATCAACATAATGACCTTCCGACCTTGATACAGGACCTTGATACAAGTTGACGTGATAGACTCATGAATGTCTGAACTAGCTCGGTCGAATAAATAAACTATTCATTAGTATATCTTGTTTCAGAATTTATAATGGCGGATAGAAATATTGAGGATGTGCCACTGAACTTGAACGCAGAATTTGGGAACTTAAAGCAAATGAAAGTAAAACTAGTTTAAATATTTTAAAAGATTGATGACATGACCATTGAAAGAAAGCCCACAAGTGGATGACCATCAGTTGTTAATTACGATAACGGTTTTAAAATAAAAGATTGAAAATTTTTAGAAAAGTTAGGATGATCGATGATATCATATATTAAAATAAATATAGAAAAAAATATGGAAAATTTGAAATTGAAAATCGTTTTGATAGATCCCATTAATAGACAATATGGGTATAAACGGATAGATAGATAGATAGATAGATAGATAGATAGATAATGAAGAATCTGAGATAGATAGATAGATAGATAGATAGATAGATAGATAGATAGATAGATAGATAATGAAGAATCTGGGATAGATAGATAGATAGATAGATAGATAGATAGATAGATAGATAGATAGATAGATAGATAGATATTTGTTCGAATATTGAAATAAATAAATAAATATACCGTTTAAAAAAAATAAACGGAGCCTCTACACAAATATGAATATCGACAAAAATAAGGTTTAAAGTGTTAAAATCTGTCGGATTAATAAATCAAACATCCATTACTCCTTTAGAAATCGATAGATAGACAATGAATAAATTAAGATAGCTAGAAACAAATAAACCTACATACCCACCATGCTGCGCATATTTTAGGGAACTACCCTCATTCCCTCCGTATTCCATTGGTGAGAAATAAGTTCCACTCGAGTAGTTTCTTCCCGCGAAAAAAAAGCTGCTCCGTGGAACCGATTCCAGTGAGGATGTTTTCCTGATCACTACAGTCTTCATCTATTTATGTCTGGGGTTAACTGTTGCCTTCCACACATAGCCACATGAATTGTGCCTCTAACTCTGTAACCCTCTACCTCGAGTGGCAACCGGGACTTGTACAGAGTGAACCTTACTGTAAAAAGACAGAGATAGATAGATAGATAGATAGATAGATAGATAGATAGATAGATAGATAAGAGCCTAATATATTCTTAACTAGAAAACAGATAAACATAGATAGGGATATTTGTGCTTGCCTCTCTCACTCACTGTCTTTCCACCTCTCCTCTCTCTCTCTCTCTCTCTCTCTCTCTCTATATATATATATATATATATATATATATATATATATATATATATATATATATATATATATATTATAAATTAATTGATTTAAAATATGGATCTATAAGAACACCGGATTATATATCTTACTGTTCTTTCTTTTTTTATTTATATACATATATATATATATATATATATATATATATATATATATATATATATATATATATATATATATATATATATATAAATATTCGTGCACATACAAATTTGTATTTTTGAATTTTACGAATACTTTTTCACCCAGTAAAATGGATAAATGAGATTTATTTCTATTACATCAAATATTTTCTGTTTTCTATGCATATTTAGTTATTATGCATCTGCGTACAGTTAATTATATGAAAAGTATGCTTATTCATTAGTTGGAAATACAATAAATTAAACATTTGTATGCATGAATATTTGTTCACCACCACCATATATATATATATATATATATATATATATATATATACGATTCACGTGAGAATGGAGTCAGGTTTTATTTGTAGTTAGTGGCATTTCAATTCAAAATAAGGATCGTTAAAGAGTGGATATCTTGCTTGTCCTGGATTTTTTCAATAAGGCGGAGCATTCAATTAAAAAAAAATACTGTCAACATAGAAGCCATTTTATGACTGCACGTGTCGGTCAGCAACGCCTCCCACTCTGGAGACCTGGCCACTCGACAGATCAGCGAACTGTGCGCTCGTATGTGCGCGAATGTAGTCGTAAATGGAATCAGATACCAGCTGGCATCTTATGAAATGAAATTAATATGAGTAGAGATTTTTTTTTCCTTTTTTCCTTGTTGTTTTAATGTCTGATAAGTTTAGATTTTCTTTATTACATGTTTTTCATGTATTTTTGTATTTCCTGATATATTCATGTATTTTTCTTCCATATTCATTTCCTATTTCTTTACATATTCATGTATTTTTGTATTTCTTTACATATTTCCTTACAGTGAAGTTCTTGAAAAGGCGAAGATCACCAGCATTGAGGCCATGCTGCTGAAGTTTCAGTCGCGCTGAGCTGGACATGTTTCCAGGATGGAGAAAAATTTTACTGTACAGCGAGCTCTCCAGTGGCTATCGTGGCAGAGGGGCACCAAAGAAGCGATTCAAAGATTGCTTGAAAATATCCTTTGTTGTCTGTCACACTAACCATTACCAATGGTCAACCCTAGCAGAGAAGCGTGACTCCTGGCGTCTCACCACCAACCATGCTGTCTCCTTCTTTCAAAATACCTAGGGACGAGGGGCAGAGGAAGAAGCAATGCTATGCCATCTAGCCCAGGCGAGACTTTTAGCTGCAAGTACTGCGACCAAGTATGCCTGCCCCGCATAGGATTTATCACTCATAAACGTACCTGCAAGTGACGTGTACAGAGTCCTTCTTGATCTTCGTTTTGCGAAGCCAAGCCATGATGATGAAATTTAGATTTTCTTTATTAAGTTTTTTTTTTTCCGGTATTTTTGTATTTCTTTACAAATTCCTCCACAATTTTCTTTACTAAATAATTCACCCAGTACAAAGATCCATGATTCACTTAAGGGTTAATCAGTTTGTTGTACGGACTTACGAGTTGGAAATAAGAGTGTCAAATAATAATTTGAGGCTATTATTTGGGGGGCGGTGTATTTTGGCTTAAACCTTCTGAGGCTGACCTTTAAGGTCAGATGGTAGACAAAATATGTATGTCGATTTTGACTGGCTGAGCCGAACGTGGGGATATTAGAGAGATAAAAGGTTATTTCAAGTCATACACATTAGATGTGGTTATTTCGTGTCTCTGGGAACTTGCTCCCCAGTGGGGTTGATAGAGCGACCCCACTGGCTAGTTAAAAATGTACACGTCGGTGTGTTTAATAAAGTAGTAAGTCAAAATTTCTTTTGTTGAAGTTCTCATTTTCATCTCTGAACAAATCAATTAACGATCAACCAACCGGGAGAAGACGGCCGAGTGAGAAAAATGCAACTTTGTTATCGAATCGACCTTTTCAACCAAGAGACCCTCAGAACGAGGGTGCAGTACATCCTATAGATATAGATAGATATATGTGCTATTCATTTTAGTTGTTGCTGTTGTCATCAAGTGGTGCCGATTTAGATTGGCTGAGCCTAACGTGGGAATGTTAGAGAGACAGAAAGTTGTTTCGTGGAGTTACGTTTTTACACGTCATACACATCAGACGTGGTTATTTCGTGTTTCCGGAAACTTGTTTTCCAGTGAGGGTGACAGATTGACCGCACTGGCTAGTTAAAAATTTACACAACGATGTGTTTAATAAAATAGATAAGTTCAAAATTTCTTTTGCTGAAGTTCCCATTTTACTTCCGAACTAAAAAAAAAAAAAAAAAAAGCTAGCGATCACCCGACCAAAAGAAAAAAAGAAAAGAGAGGAAGACAACTTTATTATGATCGCCTCAACACCGTCAACCAAAAGAGATCCCCAGAACGAAGGGGTAGACAACAAGAACAGTTTATTAGGATATTGTTATATACCGTATCTATGAACACTAATGGGTATGTTCCAATCCTCATAAGTACGTTGGACACTATTGTAAGTGGGGGTAATATGCTCTCTACTCTGGCAGGGTGGGCTTTCAGCGTGGCAAGCTCTTGCCGTGTCGAACTCTCTGCTCGAAGGCAGAGAGAAATCCGGACGAGGCTATGCCGAAGAGCAGATCCTCGTCCGGGAAGGTAAACAGATACCCGATCTCGCGAATGCGAGGTCTACGGGTAATTTCTGCTCGAGCCCACGGGCTCACATTTCCTCACATTTAATTTGGCCTTGTGTCGCATCCTACGTCATGGGGAGGCAGGTAAATATCGTAATATGCTGTCTATGTAGTCCATTTCTAGCGGCGGTTTACCTACTTCACGCCGCTGGCGAGTATTGTATTTTGTTGATGTTATAAAGATTTCAGATAACAGATATGTAGGATAGATAAGATAGATAACAGTTGAATCTAGATTTGGAGATTGTAGTGACCGGAGAAACACCCTCTTCTGAGTCTGTTCCACAAAATAACGCCTCTCTGGAAGAATTTGTCTGATCTGAACTTCTTCCTTACTAATGGTATATGAAGGGAATGAGGACAATTCGACGCTCTGACCTGGTGGAACTAAGGAATGGAGCTTATCTGAACAATTGCCATTTAAATAGCGATAAAGTAGGAATAGGCTTGTGACGTTTCGTCTGTGGGAAAGGATTTATAAGATGGAAAGTAATCGATCGCCTCTTTGAATTCTAGCAATGATGGAAAAAGATCATTGGGAAGATCCAGACTAGATACGGCAGCAATATTACATTTTTGGTTTGATCTTACTCTTGTAGAGACAGAGCAAAAGGTTTCTAAAGACTCTTGTAGAAACTGATTAAAAGGTTTGTAAAGACTCGTGTAAAGACAGAGCAAAAGGTTTGTAAAGACTCTTGTAAAGACAGATCAAAGGGTTTGTAAACACTCGTGTAAAGACAGAGCAAAAGGTTTCTAAAAACTCTTATAGAAACAGAGCAAAATGTTTGTAAAGACTCGTGTAAAGACAGAGCAAATGGTTTGTAAAAACTCTTGTAAAGACAGAGCAAATGGTTTCTAAAAACTCTTGTAAAGACAGATCAAAAGGTTTGTAAAGACTCTTGTAAAGACAGAGCAAAAGGTTTCTAAAAACTCTTGTAAAGACAGAGCAAAAGGTTTGTAAAGACTCGTGTAAAGACAGAGCAAGGCGCCAAGTGCTTTCTGGAAATTTTCAAAAAACGGATCATTTTCCAACATCTTTAAGATCGTATATATGTGTTCCACTTGAGTTCTGGGATATTCAAATGAAGAATCATCCTTGATAGTATAACCGCTCACTATGACTGGAAAAAATCAATCTGCTCGATGAAAATGAATCATTACTAGCTTGGTTTTGGAGGTATTAAATGTTGTAAGGTAGTTTTTATACCATTGAGCTGTTATAACTAGATCAAGGGAAAGATAAATCTGCCAGGCGTTGATTTTTCGAGGTGTAACCATAGAGTAAGTTATCCTCTGCATAGATATTTACTAAAACTCTGAGGCTCTGTTAATATAAAGTGGGGTAGAGAGTCTTGGGGATGTCAGTATTAGTTTCAAGGGCTTCAGAAGACAGGACATTATCGACAATCTTCTTTCAGGGATGAAATTTTTTGAAATCGAACTTTACTATATTGCTTTACTTCTAAATATGTAAACGGTAAACTCTAGCTCGGGGTCACACTTTCTCTACTTAAACATATTATACCTTTTTGAAATCAGGATGATCCCGGAATTGAAACTTTACCCTTAATCTGGTGGCTTGAACATCCAGCAATGGGATTAGTTTCCGAATGAGGAGGTAATAATTAAAAATTCAAATTTTGAATTAACTGAAAAAAATTATGGGTTTTAATATTTTTCAATTCATATTGATTTTAAAATAACCCAATAACTCTGCGAAATATTCTATTTTTTTATTTTTTATTTATTTATTTATTTTTTTTTTTGGTTTCAATTCAGTTGAAAATTTTGTGAATTAAGAAAATCAATTTTAGTTCTTTAAAATGCTAATGGGTCGGAGTTAAATTGAGAGGTTTCGTGACGTGTGGTTTTGAAGTTCCGTAGAGTTTGGTTTTGAAGTTCCGTAGAGTTTGTGATTTGAAAGAACTCAACTCAATTGAAGTTCCACGGCGTTTGTGATTTGAAGAAATCAGCTCAATTGTTCCACAGAGTTTGTGATTTGAAGAAATCAGCTCAATTGAAGTTCCACGGAGTTTGTGATTTGATTTGCCGAACACAATTTTCCACGGTTGTGATTTGAAGAACTGAATTGAAGTTCCACAGGTTGTGATTTGAAACCAGCTCAATTG